TGAAAATATTTAAAATAAAGCCACCCTCATTTTAAATGTCAAATAATGTAGACTTTTGTCATGGTTGGCGTGCCATATTATGTTGTATATAACTGCGTAACACACATATATTTCAATTGAGTTATAAAGTAACATAACCTAATTTGGAGAGTGCTACTAATTACACCACCAAATTTAAAGTTCCAACTAACTTCACCATATTTTTTAAATATAAATTGTTAATTTTGACTAAAAACATACAAGGTTAATGAATGTTTCAAGTTAGCAAAAAAAAAAAAAAAATAAAGATAAATAACTGTTGTTGTCCCTATTAACTACCAACCTCATCCTTTTCCTTTTCTCAGTTCATGACTCGTCAATAACAAGTCCCGGTCAACATATATATAGGTGCCTCAAATATTAGGTGCATTGCATTACCATATTTATTCATGTAAATTAATTTGACTCTCGTCTATTAATTTAATCAGAAGTTGGTGAATAATTTTTTTTATTATGAAAATCAATTTTTCTATATAATTAGTATGCATACCTTTGTTTTACTATTGTCGAATGATTATCCCATAGCGTATTATAGACCGGAAAAGGAAAAGAAAAGATTTCGTTGAATGATGAATAGAATGAAAATGAAGGATATGATATAACTGAAAATCAAAGAATGGTCTTGGAATTTAAAGTTCCAAAAAAAATGCTTGAATACATCATGCAACTTTTGGAATTGATACGCAAATAATATTTACTATTATTATTATTATTATTACTTTATTATTATATTATTATCCTCAAATTTTTTTCCGTATTGCTATATATATCCTATATTCGTCAAATTTAAATTAATTAAGGAAAAAAAGGCAATAGCAATAAATTTTATGCAAAAACAAATACACAAAACAACAATATTGTAGATCAAGAAAACTAAATTGATTTTATTTGTTCGTTAATTTTTATTAAATTCAAAATTCATTTGCAAAAAATTTTTCACTTGTTTATAAAATACAAAGTATTTTATAATATATACATATATAACTATCATTATAATCTAAAAAGTGTTCACACTATGAATGGTGTATTTGTAAAACCATTTTTAACAACACAAGAAAAATAACATTGTTTTAATAAAAAATTTTGTTTACAAGCCATCCTGAAATGAACACCAATTTAATTTTAATAAATGAATGTTTGTAAGAATGAGAAATTTCCTTCTCAAAAAAAATAAATTTGAATCGTCCGTCATACTTTACCATAATATCAACCCTAACACGTTAAACAACAACAATTTCTTTATCCATTTCCAATATTGACATTTTTTCCTTTTATTATTATTGTTGTTGTTGTTGTTGTTGTTGTTGTTGTTGTCGTTATCATCATCATCATCACCGCCCACCACTAATGTTGTTTGTGTCTTTTGCATTTATTTCAAAGTGGAAAAGTAAGGCTCACATTCCTCACATTTAAAATCTCTCTTTAGAACGACTGAAGTGTAGAAACCCTATTTCAGCATTTTTTTCGAAAATTTTACATTTGCAATATAAAAGCACATCAATGCTAATAAATATTTCTAAACTATGGCACTGTTACGTTGTTAAGTTGTAGGTTTATGTTCTGCAAGCTTAATTCGTGATCCATCAGTGAAGGAAAGGATCTATAATACATAGTGAAATTCCGGATAAGTATCATAGTAATGGTAAAATCAATTATTATTGTAATTTTTTCCGGAAAAATTCCATATTAATATGTTTTTATTTTATAATTCATATGGAATTTCCATAATAGAGTATTTTATATACTGTCAAAGTAAATTTAAGTAAAAAAAAAGTGAACCAACATGTTTAAAAGTACTCTTACACTGAAAAATTACTTCTAGTTCTACAATATAAAGGATTGCAACATGCTTGTATCTACTAGATCAAAGGAAGGTATGAATATTATCATTGGATGCAT